ATCTGGTCTCAGAAGCTGTGGGATGCCCACTCACTTGTTGCCTTTCCTAGCCAGCCCTCCCCTTCCATCTTCAGTAAACCTTCACCACTACCCCACTCCTAAGCCCAACCACTCCTTTACTTTGCACAGATGACACCTGTTTTCCTGATGAAATGGACATCAATTTTCCAAGACAAGGCAGCCCATTAGCTTGGCCGCATCTGCACATCCTTCTCAGTCTCTTTTGTCTCAAGGGACAAGTGTGCTTCCTGTGGTGGAATGGAGCACTCCACAGCCTCCAGATGCACCATCATGCCTGGATCAAGTCCCTGCAGTTTGGATTCATCTGCTCCTGCTTCCTGGTGTGCAGGGCCTCTCAAAGTTTAATGTGCACACAGATCTCCTGGGGATCATGTAAAAATATAGAAGCTGGTTCCCGAGTTCCATGTTTCTAATAAGTTCCCAGGTGGTGCTATGCTGCTGGTCTGCAGACCCCAATTCAAGGAGCAAGATTCTACTAGTCTGCACAGTGGAATTACCTGGGGAGCTTCAAATACCCAGCATTAATTTACCTGGTCTGGGGTGTGGCCTGGTCTGTGGAATGGATAAGACTCCAAGTGATTCCAGTGTGTGGAGGTGCCTCCTCTGTCTGTGACCTGCCTCTCCTCTATTGCATCATTCCCACCCACATTTACACTTCACCCTTGTCTTAAGAGGGAGGGGTAAGGGTTAGGGTTCTGACTCTAGTGATATAGCACCTGCCTAGTAAGAGCAAGGCCCTGAGTTCAAACCCCAGTACTGCAAAAAGAAGATGTGGGGAAAAGAGGGGGGGCTTAGGAAAGGAAACAAGCTACAAAATTCTCCAATCCAGCATGGCTTATCTATACACCAGTCTTTTTCTGCCCACTCAGGATCCAGCTTATGAAGCAGTGGTCTACCTTCCATTTTGCCCCCACATCCCATGCAGCTGCTTCTATTAAGCTCTGCCTGGGCTCTTCTGATGTCCCTTTAGCACCCACTGCTACCACTCCCATCCTACTGGTGTGCTTCCAGCCCCTAGACTTCCAAGAGCACTGCAGTCTTGGCTTTACTGCTGCTGCTTGACTCTGCCTTTTCTGTCTCTTTTGTAGTCTGTTTCTTCTTTCCACTCCTTATATGCCTGTCTTCCTTGAGGAATTGCATTAGCCTTTGTCTTATTTCATATTCTCCCTGGCACTAATCACCACATCCATGCTGCTCACAGTCAGATCTTTATTTCTAACTGGGATCTCTCTGGGCTTCAGTCCCTTACATCCAAGAATCAACCAGACATCTCCATGGTATGTCACACACATACATCCAACTCAACAAGTCCTAAACTGAGCTCATGAAGTTGTCTCCTAAACCTATTCCTCATCCCACATGCCCCGTCCTAATGAACAGTCTTCCTTGCACCCTGTTGACCAAGGCAGACATCTAAGTACCAGTCTTGACTCCTCCCTCCCCTTCTCTGCTCTGTCCAAAAGATCACCACATCCTGGTGATCCTCATTACACACTGATCATCCAGGCCCTTAGTAAACACTGAGCACTAAGCATGTTGAAAAATAGACATTCCCATCCCCAAGGAGCTGGGAGTCTGTAAGGAGGTGTGATTTATGTTCTAAAAGAAAGTTGTAGGAATATAGCTCAGTGATAAAACACTTGCCTGTCATGCATGAGGCCCTGGGTTCAATTCCCAGAACCATAAAAAAGAAGTTCTGGTGCAGTCTTAGAGAGGAGGGGCAAGATCAAGGCAAGGCTGGAGAGAAAGCAAACCCAGTTCTGTTGGCTGCCCAGGAAGGACAGGGTTGACTAGAACTTAAGTGAGTGCCAATGGTGTGCATGGAGAGAAGTGGAGAATTGGTCCTGTTGCTCTCCATTACCTCCCCTACTTACCTAATGGAAGCATAATTGGCACCTGGGGTTCCATAGCCACCTTCTGCCTGCTCTCGTCTCCAATCCTACCCCATTAGTCCCATTTCAGAACCAACAGTGAAATGCTCTCGGAATGCAAACATCACCATGTCACACCCTGTGTAAGACCAGTACCTTTAAGATTAAGTTCAGACTCCTCAGCAGCATCTCGCATGACCCTTTGTGGACTGTCCTCCATCATCCCACCCATTCACACGTGCTTCTATTTATGGCCTTGCCATGCTGCCCTTTGTCAAAACTTCTTTCACTCCTTCACACATGCTGATCTCTGTTCTCCCATCCCACCCCACCTGTGGCAGGGCCCTGGCCTTGTCTGCTTTCAGGTTTGTCTAGGTGGTGTTCACTCTTCTTTCCAGAAACCAACATCAACCACTATCACCAGTTTGAGCACCAGGGATCCAACAAGGGTGTACCTCTGAGGTGTCCCCACGACCATCCTATGCCATAGGCTGTGATGCAGCTGCCTAAAACTTTCCTTCATATTCCACATTGGGTGTGAGGCTTAACACATAGAGGTTCTCAGTGAATATCCACTGACCAGACCCCAGTACCAGCCAGGGAAGAGGATTCTCTGTGGCTAGAGCAGTGGGAAGTGGTATTTCAACTGCAGAATCCCAAGAGATATTATAAGTAGACCCAAAGGCTGCAGTGAATTACTAACAACTCACTGAATGTTCTTGCAGCTCTGTTTTTAATGAAAAGTAAAAACATCCCCAAATTCCAATTTCAAGTAAAAGCACAAGTCCCAGTGTCATTACTGCACTATCGTGAGGTATTGCAAGGTGTTTCTCTAGCTCCATCTGGAGCTAGAGAAATCTCTGCTTAGCTCATTTCCCCAGCACCCTCCAGAGACACATGGGCACAGTGCGTGGGTACCCATCGCGGCTTGTACTCCACTAGCCTGAGCCACTATTGCTGGTTCTGCCTCTGACAGCTGTGTTTTGTCTTTGTGTCCCTCACCCCCATGTCCCATCACCCCAGCATTGAGAGCAGGCTGGACCTGAGGAGGAATCTGCACTGCCAGACCTTCAAGTGGTACCTGGAGAATGTCTACCCAGAACTCAGGTATCCCTGCCCACTGGAACCTTGACTGACTGCAAGGAGAGGACCCCATCTGGCTTGGTCTGGAGGAGACACAGCCTGTGACCAACTGGATGAGTGTTTTTAAGGCTATGTTGAACTAAGAAGACCATTTGGCTCCCCATATCCCTGAAACCAGAAGGGGAGTTACTTTGACTCAGCAGAATGAGGGATGGAGAGTACCAAGTTGCAATACCTCTCTGCTGGGATTTGTTCCTGAGAGCATGGGCTTACTGATGCAGGCTCCATCTCAAGAATCCATCCTCTATGTGGCTCCTGAATATTTGCTTGCTTCCTCATTCCTGGCATCAGCCTCCCCTTCTTAACAGTGCCTGGCTTTGTGACAGCCCAGGGGAAGGTGGCCCTGCCATTCTCAAAACAACTCCCCAAGTTCTCCAGCTGCTAGCATGACAGATGCCAAGAGCAGTGGGTTCTCACCTCTCCCTGTGGCTTTCCTTTAGGATCCCCCTCGATTCCTCCATCCAGAAGGGCAACATCCGGCAGAGGCAGCAGTGCCTTGAATCTCAAAAGCAGAACAACCAAGAGATACCAAACCTAAAACTGAGTCCCTGTGTCAGAAGTGAGGAAACAAAATCCCAGGTAAAGTAACTGTCTGGGGACATAGCACCATATGCCAGAGAGGAGGCAGACATCCAAATTAGCCTTGGTCACCTGCTCTTATGTGACATCAGGTGCCCAGTTTTTACCCAGAGACCAGCAGTGGACATGAGAAGGAGTCCTTTGCTCTGCCTCCAGTTTATACCACCAGGTTTTCAAATACATGGAAGCCCTCTGAAAGATGACTTAGCAGGCAACATCACACTTATGGGAAATTGCCCATAAAGTTAGCTGGAGCTTAATGAGTCTGCTTTTGGTGTCCTACCTGCTGGTAGTAAATTTGGGCTGGGTCAGGCAGGGCAGGTGGTACAGCTACCTTTCAAATGTGACATGCAAAGGAAGAAAAGCCTGCTGCTAGGCCCTTGCTCTAAGACAAAATGCCTCCTTGGTGGGTTTCTTAGATGATTAAACTCTGACTTCCAGACAGTCACATCAGATTTGGTAAAACCATCACCATCCTTGGCCCCATGGGTCAGGACTATACCTTCAGACATGCCTACAGGGTATAAAAACTGTCCTCCCCTGTTGAGAACCATTGTGTTAGATTATGGCCACAGCTTCCATGTTCCTCCTGCCCTATCTCCAATCCCTTCCTCTACTCCCTACCTTGCATGTGGTCACTAAACTGTTCTCCCTAATCTCAACACAGCCTTCAGTGACTCCTTTTTGTCCACAACAAAAGTCCAAACTTTTTTCCACAAAAGTCCAATGCCTGGCACTTAAGGCATCTTATGACTTGACTCTGGCTTGCAGTGACTTTTCCAGGAGTCATCTCTGCTTCAGCAGGACAAGGGAGGGGAAAAGCAACTGAGGTGCCAATTTTGCTTTAGTTATGGATGCCTGGCTGACAGTGATACAATTTGCTCAAATGGCATTTTGTAGAACATTGTGAGTAGGCAACACACGTCTCTCTCTTTCTGTGTGTGTATGTGTCTGTGTGCAGGCGGGATTGAAGGGATCCCAACAGCCAGAATGTTGCCTGCCCCCCTTTCCTGGGATAGGATTTGCCTAGTCTGTCTCCAGTGGAGTGAGGGATTTTTTGGAACTTGCCATATTTGGCTACATAATTAGGTGAGAGTGAAGAAGCCACAGGCTCTACAGGCCTCAGAGAGAGTTCTCCAATGCCTGGCCCTGGGAGAGGTTCCAGGGCCTTTGGCTGGAGGAAATCAACCCATCCAAGCTGACCTTCCTGATGTGTGAGGAAGGGGGGTGACAGCACTTACCTACACAGGCACTCAGGGCCATTGTGGTAATGTCTAAGGGTAAACAGAGTTCTTCTCTGAAGACAGGGCTGAACTGCTGTCCCACCCTGCTTTGAAAAGATGATTGGCTTTGTGTTGTGGCCATATGACTATAGGATGCTAGAGGGTTACTGGGAGATGGGAAGAGATGCTGTCCACTTCAGCAGACTGGACCACTATACCTTGGGCTACCCCTTCCTGCTGGGGTGGTAAGTCAGGGTCATGCAGGATTAGACACAGCCCCTGGTCTCTAGGGACCCCAGGGCCTAGTATCAGGACTGGGCTGCATTTCTCAGTACCTGAAGGTATTCAACACACTTTAAGCTGAAAGAAATCTGCATAACCAATCTGTGTGTGTATGTGTGCATGAGAGAGAGAGTTACACAGCCCTGTAGGAGTGACTTATGTTCCATTCCTCTTCCATTCATAATTTGCTCCTCCTTCCTCATAACCCTCAGTCCTGCCTTTCTGCTTCCCAACTGTTTCTGCTAATGTTAGGCTTTTTGGTTCCTTCCTCTTAACCATTCTCTGCTCCTTCTTGCTTACATCCTCACTATGCATCCTGCCTCTTGGCCTGCCTAGAGGGCATGGCACCTCCTTCTGAACTCCTTCAGCCTCCCTCCCTGCACTTACTCCTTCAGTGTCTGAGAGTCCACTCAGGAAGGTGACATGGGAATCCTATTACTCTTATCCCTATTTTATAGCTGGCTTCAGAGCTCTTTTAGGCAAATTTAGTGGTAGAAGATACCTGTCCCTGGGGTTCCTCTTTGCGTTTATAAATACTGAAACCATAGAGAGCTGGTGAGAGTCTTCTATGTGGCTAGTATCCAATGAAAGCTCTTATAAACAGATAGCAGTTGTACCTCCATGTCAAAGTCTGAGAGGAGCCCCCTCCCTAACGTTTATGGGAATAGTGTGACTAGAGGCCCCTACTCCATGGATTCTACACCAGGGCCACATGTTTCCAGCCTTGCCTGTTCTCTTTTTATTCCCTCCCCATCCCAACTCTGCCCTGCATATCTAAGCTTGGCCACTGTTCTCTAAAAGGTCTCTTCAGTCCTATGAGACTGTGTCCCTAGTACATACTTCACTCTCAGAGGACAAACCAAGGCATGAGACTCATCCGGGTTGTGATACTAGGCTGGGACCATTTTGTGGGGTATTCTGGAGCCCCAGACCATGGAAAATAGGGATCAGGAGCTCCAAGTTCTGCCTCCAGTTGCTCCCCCCCCCCTTTCACTCTCCAGGTCGGATGAGCCATGGGCACTGGGGTGCCTTCATTGATGCAAAGGGACTATTTTGTCCTCAGGCTCTGACACTGGCTCACATTCCTGATGCACCCCAGCCTATTGGTCCCTCAACCTGCCCCAACTCCCTTCTGCCCCAACTCCCTTCTTGCTTGCTTGTCAACCTTAAGAAAATACTGTTGAATCTTAGCATATGGAAGATGCCAGCAAACTGATGCCCTGGTGGAGATGCAGAGAAATACATCATGCATCTGAAAATCTGTGAAGCCCATAAAGTCTCCAGGCTAACAAGTTTTCTCTTAACTTTACTGGATTCTCTAGAAAAATATCTGTGAAAGGTAGAAGGAAGACAGATGCCCCAATCTAGTTTCTTTCCAGTTTAAAGTGGGAGAAAGCAAGCATTAAAACAATTGTAGTATCTTCTTCCCCTTGCATCCTCAGCCATTTAGGCTCTGGTCCTATGGAGCAGGCAGGCAGTAGCTAGAAGCCCCGGAGGTGGATGAGGATGAAAGCATTCTCCACATCCCTTCAAACATACACACTGGCACCTCCAAAGTGGAAAACCCAAGTCTGCCAGTGGGATAGGCTGCCAGCCCCTGCCACCTTCCTTCTTGTGCTTTCTCAACACAGCTTGGGAACAGCCCCTCACCAGGAGAGCCTGTCTTCTGGGCAGTTTCCAAAGGATGGTCTGAAGGGCCATTTCTCCTTTGCTCAGCTTTCCCACTCACTGTTATCAGCATAGTAGATAGTGATTGGACACCTGCTAAATGGAATGCACCATTCTCTTCTTGGCACTTTTGTGTATTAACCAGTGACTCTATAAGTGTACCTCTGCCATAGGGACTTGTAGTGTCTTTATTTTACATCTGAGGTCACTGAGGTAATGAGAGTTAAAACCCACCCAAGTTACCAAGCTAGTGAGCCAGGACTCCAGCCCCTGCAGTTATTCCAGAGTCCAACTCCATGATCCAACAAAAAATGTGCTGGGTATGGGGTTTTAATCCCACATATAAGTGAAGGAGCAGACAGGATGGACTAGAAATAAAGAGAAGATACCAAATGTGAATCCAGTGAAGGTCCCAGTTGAAGAAGGTATAGTCTGAGAACCTGATGGGTATATGTCTGCTTCTGGGCAGAGGGCCTTTACTAGGGCAGGCCTGAGGTCCATGCCTGTTTACCTCACATGGTCAGTTGGTGCATTTGGACTACTGTTGAGATTCAGATGCTGAATCAAAGGTTCAGTTGAACCCAGCTCATTCATTCCAAATAGCTTGTTTGAGAGAGAACTTTAAGGGCATGTTCCATGTGGGTGTGGTTGGAGGCCACTTAGTGACCCTGGGTACTCTTGGCTCATTGCCCATCTTACTGAGGAAAACTCTCATGCAGAGTCAGCCTGGGGACTTCTCCCAGTGTTGCTCTGATTAACCATTGACCTCCTTGATCCTCAGTACCCCTTTCCGTAAAATAGTATCTTCCTCCGAGGGTCTTATGAAGATTAAATAGACCAAGCAGTGAAGTGCCTAGAACTGAGCCTGGCCCTTGAGAAAGTCCCTTTCAGACAAGAGTTGTGTGTTACTCCAACCATGATGAAACCAGCAATGCTGTCTTGCATTCACTTTTTTTGTTTAATGTTCCCCACCGGGAAGAATTTCTAAATGTGGAACTCACAATCAGTAAATAATGTGGGCTCCTGCTTACTGAAAACTCAGCCTCCTAACTTCTCTGCATGGTTAATGTTTCTCTTCCCTCACCCAACACTTCTCTTGTGGTGTGGAAATTCTACTGTAGAACACTTATTCTGAGCCACAGCCAGGCTCTGGGCCAAATGCTCACCAGGCATCATCTTATTTAGTCCTCGGAACAATACTATGCACCCACTGTCCAGTTATCCTGTCCCCTTGACATATGGGGCAATCAGGGCTTAGAGTATCTACCTGAATTGTACATGAATCATACCAGAGCCCAAGCCTGAAGTCTAGGTTGGCGTTTCTTAGCCTCAGCACTGTTGACATTAAGACCAAATCATTTGTTGTGGGGAGCATGCTAAGCATTGTAGGATATTCAGCAATATCCCTGGTCTTACCCATGAGATGCCCATAGTACCCAGCATAATAATTATAATAATAAAAAAATGTCTGCAGACTCTGCCAAATGTCCCATGAGGGAGGGTGGGCAAAATATCTCCACTCCTGTAGGCTGATTGATTGCTTCCTTCCTGTTAGAGAGGAGGGAACCCTGGAACATTCTAAGAACTGCCACTCTGCCTAGTTTCATCCTCACCTTGCCCCACTTAGTGATTGCCTCTCCATCCAACACAAGACAATGAGCCACAGGCTGGGCACCGTGAACACTTTGTATCCCAGCTTTCACAGCTGCAGCCAGAGGGGCATTTGCTGAAGAGAGAAGCTCACTGCCCCTGCTAGCAGGCCATTCCCTGTTCCCACCAGCAATGACTGTATATAGAGACATCCTGTGAGCACACAGGTCCATTTTCTTCCTATGAGGGACTGAAAAGTGATTGGAGGACAAGGAGTTAGACCCTCCTCCTCCTCTTTGGTCTCTGTCTGGCCTGTCCCCACGGGGGACAATGGTCACGCACATCAGCCTCTGGGTTATCTTTCCTGGGGACAGTTGTGTGAATGTGCATTGGAGGTGGAGAGAGACATCAATCATGTGCTGTGCTTTTGCAAATGGAACCATCAACAGAGGGCCCAGAACTCACCAACTGAGGCTAAACCTGCCTAAACAGCAGCTGCTGCCTTCCTCGAGTCCATTTCTGACTCAGGATTTATTTAATAAACTCACTCATCACTGGCCCTTTGGGCAAATCTGACTGGAGCAGAGCGGGACTCTGAACACCTCTCTTTGTTTGCCCACCCCATCTGCTCTCGTCTTTTGTTTCCTCTCTCTCTTCTCTTCCCCTCTTGCTGATTTGACCAGAGGTCAGCCCTCCTCTGGGAGATTGTGAGACCAAATGATTAAAATGTCAGGAACTTACTAGTTGATGGAAAATCTACTTGCATAAGGGCTTCCATCATGTCTGTGCTTGTCACACACTCCCATGGGTGTATTTGGAATGGCTTCCTCTCACTCTGGCCCAGGGGTGTGCCATCTGGCTATATGCATTCCTTCTCATAGGCATTTCTGTTGCAGAGTCTCAGATGTCAGCAGAAACCATCCCTAGCACTTCCAGGCCCTTAGAATATTAAAAAAAGAAATGCCAAATGGTCTCTCAGAAAACATGGTGTGTTTTCAGTGTTTGTTTTTAATCCTTTAATGCTTTTAACAAAAAATACAATGCAATAGCATTGTGGTGGTCATAAGATAATAACAGGATTTATTTTTAAAATGCTAATTCATGCTTCCCTGTGGGCTGTAGAACAGGTAATGAAACAGAGGAACAAACTCATCTTCTTTACTCAGCACTAACTATTCAACCTTATTTCCAGAGGACAGCAAAAGTCTAACTTTGAGGCAAGTTGTCCATCCTGACAGCCCTATCCTTGGACTTGGTCTTTGGGCCTTTCTTTCTCCTTCCTATAGGTCAAGAAATTGTCTGTGCTCAAATATAGGGCCATTCTTCTAGATCACACTCCAGATACCTAGGAGCCCAGAATTCCCTGACTAACAGCATCAACCTGATTTCAGGACCTGTGTGGATCTCATGCCTGGGTTTATCCTCTCAGGCAAACTGTGTTACTGATGCATACTCCTAGACCCAAAGGGGACCATTTAGCAGGGAGTGAATACACTTGGCTATGCTGGTGGGTTGGGAAGAAAGAGGGCAGGCACAAGCTGTTAGCCAGCGCTGCGTGTGTCCCTGTTGCTTAGTGTGGAATCCATGGAGCACCGCCCTCCATTCACACTCTCACCTCAATTCTCATAAATGTTAGGGAGAGTGGTACTCTCTGGCCTGCCCACACCATACCTGACCTGGGGATACAACATTTGCCTTTCATAAAAGCTGCCATTGAAAACTGGCCAAGGTGGAGCTGATCTATGGTTTTAATATTTGGGGGATAATGACTCCCATTGAGCTGGAGGCACTAGCCATGGATGGGGGGGCAGGGCAAGGTTCCAGACTAGGGAAGGCAGTGGTCACCATCTAGCAGGAAGGGCAAGCTCTGGATGAAGATAGCTGTGTAGTCAGTACAGCAGAAGGGCCCAAGCCTGCAGGAGAAGGGGACGAATAAACCAGGTCTCAGAAAGACATTAGAAATGTTCAGCAGATTTTACAGGTCAAGGGAGGACCTGGGCCTGGAGGCAGGCAAAGAAGGTGCAAAAAAGAGAGGCAAATGGATACATAGTTGGTTTAGGGGACACTGTGTTAAGAGCCCTTTTTTTTTTCATTCATGGGCCAAGGAAAAGTAACCCATTAGTGGCCTGGTCCAGAGGCTCAAGTCAACTGGTCAGCAGGGATATAGTAAAGAAGAAATACAGTCCTCAACAGGGTCCTCTCTGCAGCTTCCCTCGGGGCATTCAACTCAGGAATTGTTTCTCCATGATGATGACAAAAAGCAGCAGTTATCCCTGTGTTACAACCTCTTTGTGGTTCCCATTTGGACAGCCGTGATGCCAACACTTGCTGTCCCCAGACTTGAGACCTGGGCAGTGCTCCGGCTTCCTAAGCAGCAGTCATTCTGTGGTCTCTGCAACTTTGGAGGAAGTGAGAACCATGGTTGGTAATGCTCTGTTTCTTATGCCGTCAGAATTCTGCTTATCAGTCTGATTTCTTGGCTTCTTTTTCTTCACGAGTTATGGGGCCAAATTGTCTACTCTACTGGCATGTTAGAGTATGTTGGAGTATATGCTTCCTCTTAAAATAATTTCACTTCTTGTAACTTTCTTCTTTCCTTCCATTCCCTTCCTCAGAGCACTTCCTAGTTCTGTTTGCCCCTCACCCTGGCTCTTGTCATAGCTTTCCTGTTCTCAAGACACTGGCTTGGAATCCCTTCAAAAAGAGGGGACATTCTAAGTACAGCTGGGGGACGAGGGGAACTGCGAGGTGGCTGCTCAAAATGTCAAGTGTGGGAAGACTCCCTCTTGATGTTGTCTCCAAACAGAGACTCTGGAGATCACACAGCTTGACTAGAGTGCTATTCAAGCTCCTGCCCAGACCCCAAAATTATTATTGACTACCAGAGGCCATCTGCATGGTACAAACCCAGTCCCTGTCATAGGGTGTGAGGACAGACGTCCATGAGGACATGACTGCCTAGCCTCTGGCAGGCTTAGAATTTTCTAAGTTGACCTTGTTGACAGTCAATATCCACTGGAATCCCTGGAAGCCATCCTCAATTATCACACATAGACATGATGGTCCCTTGTGGTGCTGGCTTCCTCAATCTTGAGCAAAACTTCCCTGTCTCCCTAGGTATGGGCCTTCACATACACCCAGCAGATTATGCAGGAGGATCTGTGCCTATCTGTTGTCACCCTGTTCCCTGGTGTCCCAGTGGTTCTTTCTCTGTGCAAGAATGGAGATGACAGACAAGTGAGTATGCCTTCCATACTCTGGCTGGGTAGGTCTGAGTCTCACAGGTAGTAAAAGAGGGCCTGTTGGGAGTAAGAAAGAAACCCTTCTAGTGGCGGGAGAGGGAAGTAATGGCCATGTTGGCCCCACAGGTCAGCTCACCTGTGAAAGCCTACAGATCTTGGCCGAGTACTCCAGGCCCCTTGGCCTACGCTCCTGCCATTGCTCCATTCCCCACATGGATCTCAGGGCCATAAGGATGAACAAGATTCAACCCTTGTCTTCAGGGCCTTGGGCTGTAGGACTGTGTCCCCCAAAGTTTGTAGTGTCCCAGAGGTGCCCAGTGCCCAGGTCCTTTAACAGCAGGTGTTGGCTCCCCTTGTTTTCCTGCGCACTGGCTAGTGATGTGAGAAACTGAGATTCAGGTGCCCATTTTATGGGTCACTGGCTGTGTGACCCATGGCAGGTTACCGGACCCCAACTCTATGAAGTGGAGTTGATGATGTTTACAGTAGCTATTTTGAGTAATGAACTGTGATTGTCTCTGTGAAATACTGAGCTCAGTACTGGTCAGAGGTAGCCCCCAATATATGCCCATCCTTCCTCATCATGGAAGGAGAAGTCTGGGGAACAGTACTTGAGACTCACCTCTCTGCTTAAGTGCTGATGTGCTTTGAAGAAGTCTCCTGCCCCTCCTGCTATCACCCTTTTGTCCCTCTCCCTTTTCTCCCCCACTTTATAACCATGCAGTTGTCCCTGTCACTTGGTATTATTCAGAAAATTAATGAATTTTCCAGCAAATATACTTATACTGCTTTTAACTTTTTAAAATCCAACTCCAAAACAAACAAACAAAAAATACCTGGCAGACCAATTAGTGACAGTTTTATTTCTCCACGAGGCCATGAAATCAAGTACCTGGCTGACCCTAGACGTGGTGTCACTCTTTCTGATGATGCTGGAGAAAATCAAATTATCAATAGGACCCTGGGCCTCAGCCAGAGACACCTGACTCATTCTTTCTCCTCTCTGTTTCCTCAGCAATGGACCCGGACTGGTACCCATATCGAGCACATAGCATCCCACCTCTGCCTGGACACAGACATGTTTGGTGACAGCACTGAGGATGGCAAGGAGATCGTTCTGAATCCATGTGAGTCCTCACTCATGAGCCAGCACTGGGACATCGTGAACTCCTGAGGACCTGGGCTGGATCCAGCATGGGCCAGAGGGTGGTGCTTCCTTGGACTAGACTGTGAACAGCCCATGACTGCACCAGATACCCTGTACTGGAGGTGGAGCAAAGTCTCCCAGGACAGGAGTGACTGTCTCAGGGAGGAGAAGAAAAGGTTGCCAGCCAATGAGACTGAGTGACAAACCCACATTTTTGCATTGTTTTGAAGTTCCATCCCTGGCCAGGCCTCCCCATGATGCGTACTTGGAAGCAGATATCCAACAGGAAGTGTTTGTTGTTCCCTTTCTTAACAAAAGAGACACACCATGGAGATGATCCTTGTCACCAGGCCAGAACTAAATTGAAAGATGAAAAACAGAGGTGGTTTTCAGAACAAATAAAGTTAACCTTAGAAGTTGTCCTTGGGTGACTTATGCTGTTTCTTACATTGGCTCAGGGCTAAGTTGAGCTCTCCACTGAATGCAGGCAGATGTGGAAGTATCTTATGGCAGAGTGGACAAATGAGAAGAACACAGGGACATGGGAGACCTGTGCTCTTATCTAGGTTGCCATCAACTAATTGTGTGATTTTTTTTTT